GTGGCTGTTGTGCTTTATTGAGTTGTTTATTGTGCTCTTCGGGGAGCCCAGGTTAAGGTTGAGTGCAGACACATCCAGAATAGCCTGGCCAGCTTAAAATATGAAAAGATTATTTCAAACAATTTTTTTTTTTTTTTAAGATATTATTCCATTAGGAGTTCAAATGTTCCCACACAAGAGAGAACTGCAATCCATGCTGAGGTCAAGCAATGTCCCACCAAGAACAGCCACTTGAAAATAGGAGGAATTCTTTACTTGAGAAACTGTTATTTTCATTCAAAAAGATCATTCAATTAATCAAATCATCTGAAGCAACTATTAAATAAATGTCCTAGTTGGAACAATGATGTATCCTTTCATTCAGAAGAGTCAGCTTCTTGAAATTCAGCTTTTACCTACTGTCCATTGCCATGATTACTGATTTATATCAGAGTAATTTAGAGAATGAGCTGTATCATATAAGTCTCTATTTTTATTTGTCCTGGGGTTTTTCTGTCATACCACTTTTTGTAACTTCCATGCTTCATTATCACTTATGCTGAAGACTGACATCTGTATCTTGCCTTGATACATAGATGAAATCAGATTATTTCAATACTATCCATCTTAATAAAGATGTAAAAACACCTTCAGAAGTCTTCTTTAATGTTTTATCCTTGAAGTCTTGACTGAAGATATTCTGTGTATAAAACAGGCAGAAACTGGAACTCCTGTCATTCAGGACGTTCTGGAATTGAAAAGCAAGACCTTAAACTGCATAGAAAAGGTCTTTGAACCTTCTTCTTGTGAAGATTTATTTAAACTCAGTCATTAAATTCAAGCCCATTTCTTTTTTCTTCAAACCTCTCAAGAGAGCCTGGGTAGCTCACCACTCCTGTGTTTAGTTGTGATAAGTGGGAACAGACCTTTTAGACAATCAGGGAGCTGACACCTCTGCTTGTGTGTAGTCTATGTCTGTACAGGTTTTAATATTTCTGCTGAACTGTGAGCAGGAAAAACAATGGCAAAATTATAAATGGTAGTTAGCAACTGATGCCATAAAATACAGAAAGGTTTAGTCTTCAGAGCAGTTATTGTGTGAGCAAATAAAACTTTGTTTCTTGGAAGCACTTTTAATAGTGTAGTGTCCAGCTAATAATGCTTTGCACCGTGATCCCTGTAAGTGCAGAGAAGCACACAGTCAGAGCCTGACCTGCTGATTCAATAAAGAATTCATTGCTCATATTAGAGGTGTTCATGTGAGTCAGGAAGTGGCATATTGACTAAGGAGCTGTGCAGAGCTGGTGTGAACAGGCTCCCTGAGGTGGGCAGTTCTGTGAAGCTCCTCAAGAGATGTTTTGGGTGGTTTCTTCACACCCACTGCTTGGGCACAGTGGTCACACCTGGGCAGATGTGCCCCTTTGCCTCCACAGTGCCCAGGGGAAGGAGAACAGCAGAGACTGAACTTGCAGGATGAGGAATGTGCTCTTCTTCTTGCTCTCTACTAAGTTTGAGGGCACAGAGAACATCCACTGGCCACCTCTTTTTAGGGCAGTACTATATTGCAAAGCAGCAGCTGGATTAATCTGTGTAAAGTGGTGGTTCATTTTTTCTTGTTTCAATTAGTTCACACAGAAACAACACTTTTACATCTCAGTGGTTTTTAGCATTACTCCAACTCACCATCTTGGGGCATGGAAACATGGAAGAATCTCAGCTTTTGTTAACGAATTTTTCCATTCGTTTCTCTTGTCAAAATAATCTGAAATTAAAAAATAAGAAATACACTGAATATAAATCTATTGCTCCTTTTCTGCATGACCAGTATGAAATTTCAAAGACAGGGTAATTGCAGGAACATGTCCATAAAAGAGATAACTACCTAATTCTACTGCAATGAAATAACTGGAGAGACAAATACTAGGAATAATCCAGGAATTATCACCATCAGATATTCATGGTTTTCACATCAGTTCTGCTGATCCCATCATCCTTGACTGTGATATACTCACACATATTTCACTGATGCTCCTGTGAGTAATGCTAATTTAAGGAAAGCTCAGATAGTTTTCAAGCACTGTAATGCATATTTAAATTGCATCCAAAGAGGAGGAGACAAAATAAAGAGTTTCACAGCCTCATTTTGATCAGTTATTACGTACACATCTATCAGACCACTGTATTTGATCTAGCCAAACATACTTAATTTGCCCAAATATTTGTGGCAATGGCATATTTTGATTAAATTATCTGAGTTTTAAAAATTGTTACTATAGCAACATACATTTTAGAGTGAGATGCCTGACTCTCATCCTAGCAAATAATTTCTGTCAGGAAATTATTTGATAGGATGATGATAGGAAAATTCAATATAAGTAGTTGAATTGCTGATACTCCTGCCCAAACTAAAAATAAGCCAGGTTTGGCCCTGTTATAAGTAGGCACCCATTTTTTGTAGGAGCTAGAACAAGGTAAGTGTTGATACAATTGTATTTGTACTTAGTGTAGGAGAAGGTAAGAAAATATAAGTGATAAAATAGGCTGTGTGTAATGAAATGTCATGACTAAATATGTCCCTGTTTTTACTCTGGAATAATTCATTTCACCCATACATGCCCATTTCTACAGTAAAATCTATCCCAATAGACATTATATGTAAGTATGTAACACTCCTAAGCATTTCTTTGCAGCATGTTTGCCATTGCATCTTATCATCTTGTATTTTGAAGTACCTTTTTCTCATTCCTCATCATCTGAGAAATTGTGAAAGTCTACTGTTGTGTGCCAGGTCACAAACTTGATCACAGAAGAACTCACCTGCAGTTTGGGAGTAAATGTCTCTGAAACCAAGAATCTAAAACTGAGCCGTAGTCCATGTTTTCACCTAATTTGTTGCTACCTGCAAGGTGAGAGGAGGCCTCTGTAGTTTCTCACTTGTAACTACTCAATGCCCAAAGAAGTCATCTTTAGATTTTGGGTAGCCAGGTGTACTTGGTGCCCAAACATTTTCAGAACTGCAGGACACAAACTGTGAGTTGTTCAGTCTATAGCAGTGCTTTTGGATAAGGTAAATTTTTCAGTCTAAACTGCTCTCTTGGGGATATCACTGTCCATGCACAATTGAACATTAATTTTCTGATCCTGACTGAGGTGCAAAGCGTGTGAAAACAGTCATGTGTATTACTGTGTGAGTCATCAAAAGTTCTTTGCTGCCCAGCAGTGACTTTTGGAGGCCTTTGCTGCATGTTTGCACTCATTAAAGAAACACAAAGTGATGCCAAGGAGATGTTAAAGTTCAGCAAGACCATAGGCTGGTGCTAGCAGCATTTTAGGAAAAATTCATGGGAGCCTATCTTCAAACCTGATGCTCAGGGTTTATGTGGCAGGAAAAAGCATTTGTTGCATTTTGAGTAGAAAGTAAAAACATTTATAAAGAATGCATTGGTCATAAGTTTAAAGAGTGCTGGGTTTGATCCCAGAGCAAGTGTTTATCCATGAAGATTTTGTTATTTGCCATATTATTTACCTTCAAATAGATGTTCAGGTGATGGAATGTTTCATTCCTCTTCAATGTTTGATTTCTGCTCCTTCTTGCATGCACTAAATTTGTCCAAAGTTGGTTTTTCTTGCTTCATTTTCCTGCCTGGCAGAGGCACTAGAAGAGATTGAATGTCAGTAAGTTTTAAGAAAGCCCCAAGGGCTTTATTTCTCTACTCATTTACACTGCAGTCAGAGCACATTGGCATTACTAAGCTGGAATCGTCCCTGATTCACACAAGGGGAGAATCAAATTCTGCCTATCCAGTAGTTCTGAATGTAATGGATACTTGGATTTTGTTGATGCTGGGGAAAAAAAATAATACTGAGAGAAGCAGCTCTCTCTCAGGTGATAAAACCCCATGTGTCTTCTTCACTAAAAATTTGAAGGTAATTTCATGTCTCCTTTAAAGGTTTATATATTAGGACTGCCAGTCATTCCCCATCTGATGTGAAAAACCAAGACAAAAACTTGCCTTTGATAGAAAGCCTCCACTAAAAAAAGCAGCAGAAGTCCCTCTCAAATGTTCTGCTTGACATCATGTATGTCATGAATTTTGCACCACACAGGGACTTGCTGACTCTCATTCGTTTCAGATCCCCCTGAGTCGTCAGTGTAGGACTTCTCCACGGTTTGGGAGAATGTTTGCAAACCAGATAGTTTCCTCATAAGTGTATTAATTAATTAATTACCTTAGAAACATGAAAATATTCATAATTTGCTTACAAACGTTTTCCATTCTTGCCTGCTTAAGCATTCTAGTTCCAGGAGAGCTGCAGTTTTCTTTCCTGAGTGAAGTACTCCCTAGCTCTGCATTTCTTGTGAGAAATGACTGATGTCCCCCCAGAACGTAAGTTGCACCTGGATTTTTGAAGACTACAGTTTGAAAAGGGGAGGGGTAATCTTCTCAGAGGTTTAACCAATAATTTGAATTAATAGATCATTCTGTCAGAGATAATTGAGGCAAATTGATGTTAAACTCTGTGGCTGGAGGTATTTGACCTTTGCAGCACTTTTTTGTTCTAAGCAGTAAGTTACACTGCTTTGATGAGCACATGCTGCCTGCAGAAACCTTTTCCAGCACCGCTGCTGGACAGTGTGTCAAAAAAAAGCTATCCTAGCATAAACTCAACAAACATAAGTACCAACAGACTTATGACCAACAGACCAGGTCAGAACTTGAGTAAAAATAGGAATTTTCCCAGCTTTTTCAGATACCTATCCTGTATTGTGCTTCTTGTGTGACTCACATGTATCTTCATAATCATTTTGCTGGATGGACATTTCTCTGTTACAGCATCTGCCTTGTTTTAATGGAAAATTTCTCTTTACAGTATGTTTGACTTGTGTGTCTCACATTACCTTGCTCTTCTGGGAGATATAGAAGTGCTATCCATACATAGCATCCTGTGATTCATCCAGAAGATTCTATGCTGAACATGGAAATAATTTTTTCCCTTTTTCCCTCACCACTTTTAACCAGGTAGACAAGAAAATTATTCGCACTGAAATTGGAGTTCTCCTTCGCCTTTCGCATCCCAACATTGTAAGTAAAGCCATGTCCTTTCACTCTGTATTTGTTTCCTTGTTTTTTAATACTCTTTCTGTTTGAGAGAGAAGGCTGTTCTGGTTCACCTGTACAGACCTGGATCAAAGCTCTGGGTTCTCTCCATGGGCATGCTAGCAGCTTTTTTATTAACATCTGTTGAGTTATACTTCCATTTTAAGATAAAAAAATCGATGTTCTTACAGAGTTGAGTGAGAAACTATGTGAAAGAAGGTCTGCAAATGAAAGTAAAATTTGGTGTTTTCAGTCCTGGGAGGGTAGGAAAGGGTTCACATTTTGGTTTCTCTGAGAGATGGGCAGATGGCCTCTTAAACTCCTGTATTTCACAGAGGTTACTGAGGCATGAGAATAACCAAAAGAGTACAAAAAAATAAAAAAGCTAGCAAAAAAAATTGGGAGAGAACAAGGTAACTCTCCCAGCTGTGGTCTGTGTTCTACTGTTGACCTTCAGATGCGCTCAGCAAGAAGACAAATAAGCAAAATAAATACTTTCTGTTATCTTTTACCAGATAAAACTGAAGGAGATATTTGAGACCCCTACAGAAATCAGTCTTGTTCTGGAACTGGTCACTGGTGGAGAACTATTTGACAGGTAAGTTACCTGCACACACCTCTCCCACTACCTTCCTTCACCAAGGATGTTAGAGCTCAAATTTCTTCTCTGTATGTAAACCCTGTGTTAGTAATTAGTGGTGTTATTTCACCAGCATATTATATATTCACATGAATAAATATCTGCAGCAAATATCTTAAAAGTGCCTTTGGAAATGTAATTATCAGGAGACTTTTGAGGAAAAAAAACCTAGTTGAAAATGGAGGATTTAGCCAGAAAATGTTGAAGGAAGGTGCTCAGCAGGCCCATAGCATCAAGTGTGTTGGAGCAGACAAAAGATGGGAAAAACTGGCAAAATCTCATTGACAGGTCATCATAAAACGTATTAGGTGGCAATCACCCTGCCAGAAGGATAGTGTTATGTCAAATAAAAATTTCCTAAGCAGACAAGCAAGAAAATATTGGCATTATTGTGTTTATCTGGGTTTGCTACAAAGGTTCTTCAAGACAGCTGTTGAGTTCTGAAGGTTTTGCTCATTAGGCTGCACATGCTTCTGGAGTGAGTGCATATGCATGAAGTGAGATGATTCTGTAATAATGTTGGGATTATATTTCATTGGTAGGGATTTGGGTTTTTTAGAGCAAGAGATGATTAGAAAAACATTTGATAGTGGCTTGAGTAAATGAATTAACTTACTGGTGTTAGTGATTTCCAGCTCATGTAAGGACAGATTATTTGATTTTCCTCGTTCTGTAATTAAAGTTTAGTATCATAGAGGAATATTACAAAAATACACATCAAATATTTAGTCTGAATGTATCTTCCACTTGAAAAAACAAAAGCATTCTTTTTTTTAATTATGCCATGATCATAACTTCGACCTTGACAAGAACTATTTCTGAGCAACAGCAGCAAAAGCAACTGCTCCTGTGATCCTAAATTTAACAGAAGAAAGGTGATTACTCTCAGTGCTCAGCCAAAGGAATGAGGAGAGACATGCTGCAAGTTAAACAGCCAGTGAGGGCCCAGTCCTGAGCTGGAGAGGGCCCTGTCAAAGTGCCTTACCTTTCATGTAGCCCTTTATATATCCACAAAGGTTTCAGATTAGGTAATTTTCAGGAGGCCTGGATACTCTACAGGAGTCTTTAATGAGATTTTGTAAAGGCAAAACACATATGATCCAGTGGAAGACATATAATCCAGTTGGTTCCTGAGCAGCAACCGCCTGTGTGGTAGAAGAATTGGAGAGAAAAGGCTTTATGGGATGCAGGATGGAGAATTGCATTATTTGATGAAACCAGGATTTAATATTCTGACAGTTTCAACATTCTACAATCTATACTCAGTAGTGACTATGGGATTTGAATGTCAGATTGATCTTTTCAAAAAGATTGGATGATTGATAGTATAGTTTGGGCAGCTGGGACCAGCTGTCTGGCATTCTGACTAGAAGCAAAGTCACTCAGTAGAATTGCAGGGCCCCCTGCTGATGCTATGGATGAGCACTAATATTGAGGAGATCTGAATTCTGCATCCTCCATTGCTCCATGTTCCAGCAGAACTGGAAACTTTGTCAATACAGACCTCTGTGATTTGGAAAAAGACCCAACAAGCAATGAAACAAGAAACCATATTAAATTATTTCCAGCTCTTAAGCTAGGAATAGGAGTATTACTTCACTCTTCAACCTTAAACTAAAAATAATAAACAGAAATATGCAGCCAAGATGTTTTGCACTAGCAACTTCAATTAAATATTAGCTGTCTCCCCATTCTAAGCTGGGCTAAAGGATTAACACTTGCATTATGCTGTACAATGGCTGCCCTCTGAGTTTTAAGTTTAGTTTTCTGCCTTAGGGCAGGTTCCCCTCTCATGCCTAATCCTTTCAGTCCTTACATGTTTTTATCACGCACGAAGGAAATGTCCTGACTGACAAAGAGACCTTGTGCATGCCTTTTTCTGTGCTTGTATGATTCCCATCACAGGAGAAGGAAAATGACCCTGGAATATCTCCTCCTGAGCAGAGGAGCTGTGTCATATGTGGAGGGAGAGGTGTGACCAGGTCTTGAGATCCACACCATGGTTGTCCTCAAGGTGAGATCCTCTGTGGGCAAGCAGGATCCCAATGTGAGCTGGGACCACCTTCAGGGTTTGGAATACCTTACAGGCCTTATTTGCAAACCACTGCCCATAGACAGACAGCAAAGCAATTTCTGTACTCTGGAGGAGCTACTCTTATCCCTCTTTCTAATAAGCTATCAGCAAATGGCACAACTGGGCCTGTTACACAAGCAGTCCTGCTCTCCTGGCTGAAAACATCTTCATTGCTGTTACTGCCAAATCTTGTAATATGCTGCTACTTTTTATAGCAACTGTTTTGTTACTCCAGTTTTCTCCCATCCCAGGTGTCTATTCTTCTTCTGAATAGTATTTGAGCTGCAGAAGAGTAAGTTCTTCCATGTAAACATTCCTCTTACCATGAAGATGATTTTATAAATACCCAAGATCCAATTAGTCTTCTAAAATCCTCTTAGCATTGTGGATGTGCTGCTGGTTTCATGACATTCTAACAAAAAATTCTGGGAAATGAAATTATTCACTTTCATCACCATATTTAACATTACCATCAAATCATCCATGTTATTGCCAAAATGAACTCTCATTGTGACAATTTTCAATTGTGTTACCTGAAGGGAGATAAATTCAAATGAATGTATCAGTTTGACACCTGAGTTAATACAGCTCAAATTGGATTGATTTTGGCTGTATTTTTAAAAAGGAAACTGTTTCTCAGATTTCATAAATCACATTGCAGGTCATACCCTACATACCACTCCAAATACAATAAACATATCTACTTGAAACTGGAGAAGTTTGTGTAAATTAGAATATTTATTGATGATGTACATGATGATTTTTACCAGCTCAGCAAGTGAGGAGTGACAAAGACCTTGTGGCAAAGAATGACAAAGAAAAAAGTGGAGGAATATATCAGGACAGAGAGAAAAATGCAGCAGGTCTAAATTAACTGGTTTTAAAGTTCTTTACAGGTGCTACATCTCCAGCCTAGTGCTGGGACGTATTTCTGACATTTTCTTGGCTCTCCTCTTTCATTCTTGCTCGTTTAAAACAGACAGGCATGGATGAAGTGCATTTAAACTGGCAGTGCTCTGACAGAGTCCCAAAAGACAATCTTCTGATAAGGCTCTGAATGTTCCAGCAATGGTGAGCCCAAAACACAATCTGATTTCTTGTCTCTTATGGCTTACCTTTTGATGAAGTTGGTTTTTTCCATTCAAATTTTGTTCCTATCTATCATCTTTCAGCTGAATCACCAGTTGATTCTTTTTCAAATATGAATTTCAGAAAAAAAATTCAACTCTACTTCTACTTCTTTTTAGTTAGAATACCTGCAGATTGCTAAGAATAACTTTTGTTTTTTCCACTTCAGATAAAAATGCCAACCCATATATTCTTGTTTTTTACTTTGGCATCTTGACCACAGGCTCTTCTGTTTCCTCTTTCATCTTACTATTAAGTGCTAAACAATGTCTGAAAATAGCACTTACAGCTGATGGTCTCTTGACTCACTTCCATTTCAAGTTTCATGTAATTTCCTCTGAACTCTAGGTTCAAACTCATATTCTCTTCTTTTATACAGTATACATTAACAAAAATATTAATTACTCTAAAGAACTTGCCTTTTTAAGAGGTGTGGTAATGATTGCTTCTTATGGACAAAATATACTGAAGCTTTAGGAACTTTAAAAGCTTTTTGTTTGCGCTTTTGGAAATTAAAATTGTTAAGGGATATAAAAACTGTCAAGGAAGTAATCACTCACTAAAGTGGGAGTCTTTTATGAGCCAGTGTCAGAATAGCACCTTCTGATTCCTTCAGTGCCCTGGCCTCGTTATGTCAGGGCAGTCTGTCTGTCTTCTGAGCAGGGGTTGGAGAAGTTCTTTGGACTCCCTGCTTCATGCACCATATTTCAGATCCCTCAGTCAGGACTGGCAAAAATAAACAGAGGTTGGTGAGTTGACTGCACCAGCTGTGATTATTCTCTGAAGCTGGAAGTCAAGACACAGAGCTCTGATAAAAGTGCTCTTTGGTATCTTAGTAGCTTATTTGGTTTCTCTTGAATTTAGCTTCAGTAATGATAAAACCGAGTAATTTCTGAGTAAAGACGTGCGTTAATGCTCATTTGTAGCCTTTTCAATGTAATTTGGTATTTTGCTCTTGTACAGAGTTTTAATAATGCCTCTACACTTATTTCTTTTTTTTTTGGTGGTCAGTGCCTAATTTTCTGTCGCTCTGGAAACAGGGAAAGCCTTTTTTAGGCTGTGCCTGTGAAGTTCTTTAGTTTTTATTTTTTAAAATATTTTTAATGCAGAAGGTTCTTGTGATTATAGCTTCTCTGACAGATATATTCTCTGTTTTCTACCACAGCCTCAGCACTGTAATATAGACACACACAGTCTGTATGGCAGACAAATTAGGAGAGTTAAATTAACCTGATAAATTAATTAGAAAGTTGATTTAAGTTTATCTGAATTCCTTAATTATTTACAAATTTTAACTTCTTATTTTTTTGAAATGCAGAGAGTTTTTGACAAGTGTTGAGCCAAACTGGACCCTACATATATATGTACATACAGAAAGTCCCTGATGACCCAAGTGCTAATGATGTGTCTTCTGTGCATTGATTCATCACCTCTCCTGAAATTATAGTCACTTAGGATGTGTGTGCTTTTTACATTTTTGGATTTAACTGCTTTTTTGCTATGTACATTATGACAAGAGTGTAAAATGATGTCAAAATGTTTTAGGAAGAAGTAGTTTTCCTAAATATCCAGAGCACTGAAATGCTTTTCTTAGAAGATAATTAAGGAGGGTTTTTTTTTTTTTAAATGAAAGCCTGAAAAGCAAATATGTTTTAGGTAATGCACTTCTCAGTTCAGTGTTAACCTTTAGCCATGGTTGTAAGGAATGCATCACAGACCTGTGCAGTGTAAGAGGTGCCAAGGTCACAAAAGAAGG